TGCCTTTATATTGACACCTGACAGTTACTCTGCAAAGATGACCTGAAGGGATGAATGAATTCTTCCAGTGGCCCAAGCTGGAATTCTGAGACTCACCTTTGATTTGATCTTCTCTGGCTTATCATATCCAATCTGCTGCCAAGTCATGTCAATTCTACGTCTGGTGTATCTTCTTTTATTCCTTCATTCCCACTGCCATTACTTGGGTATTACAGTGAACTCCTTGCTGGTCTGTATCTCTCCATACCTTTCCCTTGGTAATCTTTTTATGTATGGTTACTAGAGCAGTCTTGACTAATAAGCCTAATGATAATGATGATCATCCTGATCATGATTGTGGTACTTGGTATTTACGGAACACTTACTATGGGCCCCACAATTTTTAAGTGCTTATATGCATTATCTTGTTAAATCTATGTAACAACCTGTGAGATAGATACTATAATTATCCCTATTTTACAAGTAAAATCCAGGGCCAGAAAGTTAAGTATCTTTTCAAGATCACACAGCTAAATGACAGAATTGGAATTTTTTAATCCAAGCTGTCTTATTCCAGGGTCCAAACTTTAACTACTATGCTGCTCTCCCTCCAGCAGAAAACATCTTAACAGTTCATTTGAAACACTGCTGGAGTACCTTTCAGTTTTACAGTCAGTACCCTGTGTGCGCTAACCACATCTTGTTAGTCACTTACTTTTGTTTTTTTCTACGCCAGACTGAATTCTTCCGTCATCTATATAGTCACACACTTCCCTGTAATTCTATTCATTCTATTTTTTTCTTGCCTGGAATGCTATGTTCACCTCCTTTTCATCTAAATTCAGTTCAAATGGCTTATTTTCCATGGAGTCACCTGCTGTTGGTCCCCTCCCCCCCCATAGCATGTTCTATGAACTTCTCGTGACATTTATCACTTTTACTTTATATTATTATTACTGTGTTTTCTATTTTATCTCCCCTATTAGCCTGTGCAGTCTTCTTGATGTGGCATCTATGTAATTTTTTTCTATCCCTAGGCCTTGTATAATGCATGCTTTCAAATCATTTTTTCTGTATTAAGTTTCTCTTCAAAAAATGTGTTCAGTAAATGAAGAATTTATTACTCATAGACCATTAACCACAAGATTTTTGTATATGTGGCTTTTTAGTGTGTCCTTTCTCATTTCCACGTGGTTTAATAGTTCATTATACTAATGCACTATATATAGACAGATAGATATAGATCTGGTGAAAATGTTTATGATCTGAGGTTTTGTTTTGTTTTAAACAATTTGTAAGGCTAGTTCAAGCTACTTCACTTTGAACCGTTCATTGAATCTGAGACACATGTTTTTCACATGGTGAAATCTCCAGTGTATTTTGGTGTTTTCTTTTGGTTTTTAAATCTCTCTATAAGTTGGTGGTGTTTTAGAATCTGGGAAATGTGGCAAATACAATAAGTAGTGACTTTTAGCCAAATGGTCTTTTGGAACAATACTCACAATTTGGATTTTTGTTTAGGCTCAGGTCTCTATAGGATCTGTTATTTTACTTCTTATTTCCTTACTCCTTAAAGGGTTTTAAAATGAGATGGTAAGGAGTAAGAGTTTTGTTTTTTATCTATTTTTTAACTGGGGGAGGAATAGGAGAAACTTGTGTGTGAGTAAGTAGAATTTTAAATAGTAATTTACGAGTGTAGAATTAAAAGCAGCAAATTGCAGGATTCCTAAAGTACACTCTGATTTATATAAAATTTTAAAACATGCGAAATAGCACCCTACCTTCTTAAGGGACATGTACAGATGCAGCAAGAACATCATGATGTTCCAAGACAGTCATAAACACCAGAGTCAGGACGATGACTACCTTCAGAGGCAAGGCAGGAGGCAGTGCAAATGAGAGAGAGATGGCAGGGGTCTCTGCCGTGTTTGTATAACCTCTGCCTTATGGCTCAGGAATGGGTGACTGAGTGTTTGTCACATTGTTCTCTGGACCTATTTGTCCATCTGAAATACTTCATAATTTTTTTTAAGCTTATTTTGAGAGAGAGCGAGTGAGGACGAGTCAGGGAGAGAGGGACAAAGAGAGAATCCTGAGCAGGCTCCACACCATCAGTGCAGAGCCGGATGGATGCAGGCAACCATGAGAGCATGACCTTAGCCGATACCAAGAGTTGGATGCTTAACCAACTGAGCCACCCAGGCGTCCCTTCATAATTTAAAAAAATGTTTATTTACTTATATTTAGAAAGAGAGAAAAAATGTGTATGTGGGAGGGAGGGAGACAGAGAGAGAGAGGGAGGGAGAGTCCCAAGCAGGCTCCATGTTATCAGCTCAGACCTGGACACGGGGCTTGATCCAATGAACCATGAGATTAGGACCTGAGCTGAAATCAAGAATTGGATGCTCAACTGACTTGAGCCACCCAGGTGCCCCTATTTCATAATTTTTTTAAAAAATGAGGGAAAAGGGAATACATGTTGGTATGTACTTATGCTGCTAAACTTCAAGAAATGGACTTCAGTACAGACAGTACAATTTCCCCCACCCTTAACTTCCTGCTGGGAGCAAACATTTTTCTCATTTCTTTGAACCTTTGCAGAGATGTATACATAAACAAGAATATATGTATAAATTTCTCCCCCACCTTTAAAAAAACCACTCTACCCCTTTTACATTAAGAGTAGTCTTCTCTTGGGGCGCCTGGGTGGCTTAGTCGGTTAAGCGTCCGACTTTCGCTTAGGTCATGATCTCGCGGTTCGTGGGTTCGAGCCCCGCGTCGGGCTGTGTGCTGACTGTCAGCTCAGAGCCTGGAGCCTGTTTCAGTCTGTGACTCCCTCTCTCTCTGCCCCTCCCCTGCTCACGCTGTCTCTCTCTCTCTCTCCTAGAAATAAATAAAACATTAAAAAAAAAAAAAAGAGTAGTCTTCTCTGGACAATTTTACACTTTGCTTTTTTTACTTAATGTATCTTGGAGATTATTCCACATCAGTGGAACTACATTAAATATGTAGTTTATTAAAAATAAGTTTATTTATTTTGAGAGAGAGTAGCAGGGGCTGGGGGGCAGAGAGGGAGGCAGAGAGAAAATCCTAAGCAGGCTCCACACTGTCAGCACAGAGCCTGATGCAGGGCTCAGTCTCACAAACTGTGAGATCATGACCTGAGCCAAAATCAAGAATTAGATGCATAACTGACTGAGCCACCAGCTGCCCCAAGTATATAGTTTTAATAAAAATAGATTTAACTTTTTATCGGTAATCATTACCTTTTTCTTTCCCAGTTTTAGGTTAGACTTTATCCACTAATAAGTATTTGTTTTCTGTGTCAGGTTTATGTAAGCAAATTAAGCAGCAGAAAATCTAGGTTTCTCCCTAATTCCTCTTTCCAAACATTCTTGGGGCTTCCCTGTGGGTCTTTAAATTTTTTTTATGTATTTTTTATGTATTTATTTTTGAGGGAGAGAGCATGAGCAGGGAAGGGGCAGAGAGAGAGGGAGACACAGAATCAGAAGTAGGCTCCAGGCTCTGAACTGTCAGCACAGAGCCCAAAGTGGGGCTCAAATTCACAAACTGCGAGTTCACGACCTGAGCTGAAGTCGGACGCTTAACCGACTGAGCCACCCTGGTGCTCCAGGGCTTCCCTGTGTGTCTTGATGTATAACCTGACCATTCCCTAAGCATCTCCTGTGTGTGGGTCATGTTCCCTCTGAAGGGTGGAAAGGGAGGACATTTGGGCTCTGGAGCCCCGTGCCTAGGCTGGAATCCCCTGCTTGCCACTTACTAGCAATGTGACTTGAGTCTCTTAACTGTCTGCACTGATTCAGTTTCTTCATCTATAAGGTGCATTGAACACTCCCTTTCTTTGTAGAGTTGTATATAGAATTAAATGAGTAGAAAGTACGTGACACACAGGAAACACTGTTAAGTGTCAGCTGGTTCTGTTATATAAGTGATCACTTAGCTGTCTGCTGCCCAACCTGTGGCCAGTCTCCAGACAGCTAACCCCACACTTTCTTCCCTGACCTCCTTTGACTTTGGTCTCTGGCTAGTGAGGAAACTTCATTCTCTTTTTCAGAGATTGCTTTAGAGAAGGTTTTCCCAGCTTGCCAGCGATACCCTTCATACCCAGCTGCCTTCTCCCTAGAGCACTGGGGCTGTCTACACAGTTGGGGTGGAGGAGGTGGTAAAGTGGAGCCTCCCACCTACCTGTAACGACACCACTCTTGAGTACCCTTGCTGCTCCCATAGACTTGAGTACTCTTGCTGCTCACACTGCCCTCCCTTGCTGGCAGAATTCTTCTACACGTTCTCCCCCATGCATGATTTTTCCCAGGACCAGTGGTCCCATTCTATATTGTCCCTTCAGGAGCCTCCATGCTTGTATGTGTCTGAATCCAGTTAATATCTGGGTTTAGGCTTTCCCATAGGGTTCCAGGCCCCATGTACATCAGGGGATGTGGCTTGGTATCTATTTTAAGAGCTCCTGAATATACTGTGACTGATATGTTTCCCAAACATTGTTAGTTAAGAGGCCAGTATCCCCTGACCACATAGGGGATTCCTCAGGAGCAAGAAACACCTCTAGCCCAGCCAGGACACTGTCAAGTTATTAACAGTTATAGTTAACATTTGAATAGCAGTTTCCAGCCCAAGGTGCAGTTCGTATAACTTCCCTCATTTAGCTCTGAGGAACGGGTGTCTCATTCCCATTTTCCAATGAGGAAACAGGACTAGAAACGTTGTGGTCAGATAGATTGAAAAAGGACAAACTTCCCTTTGCTTCTGTGTCACTCATACCAAGCTACCTTCTTACCAAGCAAAAAAAGACCAATATTTTATAGTTTTAGCAGAACTGATATTTTCATAATGAGGGGATTTCATGTTAGCTAGGTTTGGGGCGAAATTAACAGTATTAAAAACTGTTGAATAATCTCGTTTAAATTTAGGTCTCCTTGTACTCTAGATATGTGTGAACTGAAGCTAATTTTGTAAAAAAAAAAAAAATTTGTGCTTTTTCTCAGAGCCGCAATGGACACAGGGAGCCATAGCCTTGTTCTCCTGCAGCAGCTGAACATGCAGCGAGAGTTCGGTTTTCTGTGTGACTGCACAGTTGCTATTGGAGATGTTTACTTCAAAGCCCACAGAGCAGTGCTTGCTGCTTTCTCTAACTATTTCAAGATGATATTTATTCACCAAACAAGGTAAGGATGTGCTTTTGTAAATCAGAAGAATTTTAAATATTGTGATATAGCTAAGCCTTATTATAACGTCATTTGGGGGACTCTTTTATGGGATCACCTTAAGAAATAAAAACAAATTGGAGTGCCTGGGTGGCTCAATCAGTTAAGCATCCGACTTCGGCTCAGGTCATGATCTCAGTTTGTGGGTTCAAGCCCCACATCGGCTTCTGTGCAGGCAGCTCAGAGCCTGCAGCCTGTTTCAGATTCTGTGTCTCCCTCTCTCTCTGCCCCTCCCCTGCTCATGCCCTGTCTCTCTCTATTTCAAAAATAAATAAAAACTATAAAAAAAAAGAAATAAAAACAAAATACGTATTTTTTTTTTACACATCCAGTAATTCATCTCAGTGTGTAGGATACATGGTAGAAGGTACAAATCAAAATGATAATAGCTAAAAGTTATTGAAGGCTTATCCCATACCCAAGCACTGAGTATTTACCTAATGTACATTCTGCTGTTATCTACACTATTTTAGTTTAGTTTATTTGTTTATTTATTTGTTTTTTTTGGTGGGGGCGGGAAGAGAGAGAGAGAGAACAAGCAGGGGAGGGACAGAGAGCCAGGGAGACGGAGAATCCCAGGCAGGCTCCATACCATCAGCACAGAGCTCTACTGTGCAGGACTCGAACTTGCTAACTGTGAGATCATGACCTGAGCCGAAATCAAGAGGCAGATGCTTAACCGGCCGGGCACCCCTTATCCACACTATTTTAGAGAAAAGGAGACTTGAGGCTGAGTTAAGTAACTGACCTATCCAGGATTATAGCCCCCCAATAAGTTACATTCAAATGCAGATCTGTGTTTGTAAAGAGCTGTGTTCTAACTCACCAAGTTGCTGATACCTGTTCTGTAACACTTTCATAGCAAGGCCTTAATGTCATGTTTCTACCCACGTTATATTCCATACTATGGATCAAAAGTCATTTGTTTCAAATACTGTCTTCGAAAAGTGTTTTGATTTTTTGAATTTAGGTTATCCCAACGTGATAGGTATGTATGAAGAGGGCAGGAAAATGGTATTCAGATTCTGACCTCTTAAAGAATAGCTTTAATCGATCCTAGTTTGAAAAGGATAGAATTCTGTGTGTTTTTGTTTTAAAGGATTTTTGCATAAAATACATAGGAGTCTAGCCTCAATTACACATTTTTATTTATACATTCATTCATTTAAGCATGTATCTGGTACTTAATGTCAGCACTGTGCTAGACCCCAGTAACAAGCCAATTATGCTCCCTGCCCTCATGGAGTTAATAGTCTCATAGACAGTGCACATAAAGAAAATAATCGCTGTGTAATTGATCTGTGTCTCAGTTTCCTTCCCTGTAAAACACTAGCGTTGTATGTATGCTCACCCCATGGTGTTGAGATGTAAATGGATTAATAATATTAACACGCTTGGAACCGGGCTTTGCACCGTCAGCTACCACTGTCAATAATTAATGTGATGCATCTATAATAGAAGTGTTGTACAAGGTAGAGTGGGGTGTCAGCACCCTGTTTTGAGGAGGTTTGAATATGCTTTACGGAAGCCTTGGATCTTGAAGGATCAGGAGGAGGTGTTTGGATGTTGTAGAGGAATGCAGGAAGGTACACTGCAGGCAGAGGGAAAGTGCCTGGAAACACAGGCAGGTATGAACCAGGCTAGTGCATTCAGGAAACGGGGAACATCGGTGTGACCGGAATACATGGCACAAGTATGTGTGGGGGGGGGGGCATGTCATGGGTAGTGTCAGTGTTGAGATTAGATTAGAAACAGAACCTTCACATCGGTCTCCTCTCAGAGCTCTGAGTTGGTTCTGCTCCCAAAGCGCCTGTTGTGTGCCAGGCACCATGCACGCTGAGCTAAATCCAAGAGACGCAAAGGTGTCAGGCCTGCTGTCTGGTAGCTCTGCTGAGCAACTAAAAATCCTCAGTCACCAGAGCTCTGTGCTGATATAAAAAACACCTGCCACCGACCCCGGAAGTGGGTGGGTGAGAGCTAAGAGTGACACCCAGGAGGGAATCCTGAGATACAGGGACTGAAAGAATGGATTGTCGGTATACTTCCTGACCCCAGTGCATTCTGCAGCATTCACAAAGTTTTGCTTCAGAGAAGGTAAGTCCACTGACTAATTCTGTCGTTCCTTGACATCCAGCACTTCCCTTGGGTTCTCTTTATCCTAATTTTGCAGGGTGTTTCCCAATTTCTTATTCATTTGTTATTTTCACCTATGATCTGAATTCTAGATTCATATCTAAAATTTGGGCTTAGAGTTATTTTGAAGTTTTTCAAACTTATATCTATTCATTTGTGATATAAAGACTAGGTGTGGTAATATAGTTAGAAAGCCAAAATAAGATTAGTGTTATTTATTTATTTTTGTTTATTTATTTTTGTGAGAGGGACAGACCACAAGCAGGGAAGGGGCAGAGAGAGAGACACACATAGAATCTGAAGCAGGCTCCAGGCTCTGAGCTGTCAGCACAGAGCCCAGTGCAGGGCTCAAACTCATGAACCATGAGATCATGACCTGAGCCGAAGTTGGATGCTCAACCAACTGAGCCACCCAGGCGCCCCTCAGATTAGTGTAATTTAAATTCTAAATAGTAACCAATTTCAATAGATCCTTTTAAAATTTTTAATGTTTTTTATTTTGGTAAAATATATATAACAAAACCATTGGAACCATTTTCATCATATAATTACTGGCATTAAGTACATTCACAATGTTGTGCAATCATCACCACTGTCATTTCCAAAACTTTTCATCACCCAAAACAGCAACTCTGTACCCATTAAGCAATAACTCCCCATCTCTTCCTTGCCCAAGCTGCTGGGAACCTCTAATCTACTTTGTGTCTCCATGAATTGGCCAGTTCTAGATATTTTTTATCAGTAGCATTGCACACAAAGCATCCTGGGTCTGCTTATTTCACCTACAAAACATTTTCAGGGTTCATCCATGTTGTAGTGGTGTCAGAGCTCCATTCCTGCCTTTGGCTGAGTAACAGTCCCCTGTACGGATGCGCCACATTCCGTTCATCCAGGCATCTGTTGCCAGACACTTGCATTGCTCCCACCTTTTGGCTAGTGTGAATAATGGTGTGGTGAACACTGGCGCACAGGTTCTGTTGGGTCCCTGTTTTCCGTTCTTTTGGTTATATATTCAAAAGACTGTTGGGGCGCCTGGGTGGCTTAGTCGGTTAAGCGTCCGACTTTCGCTTAGGTCATGATCTCACGGTTCGTGGGTTCAAGCCCCGCGTCGGGCTCTGTGCTGACTGCCAGCTCAGAGCCTGGAGCCTGTTTCAGTCTGTCACTCCCTCTCTCTCTGACCCTCCCCTGCTCACGCTGTCTCTCTCTCTCTCTCTTCTAGAAATAAATAAAACATTTTAAAAAAAACCAAAAAAAACAAAAGCAAGGCACCTGTTTTATTCATCATGTTTCTACTCCCTGGCACCTAGCATAGTGCGTATCACTTAGGAGTCACTAAATGTTGAGCTCCACAGAATAGCTGTGTGTGTTTCTTAACTTTAGGCAGCAGGCTGGATACACGAAGACTTTTTGCTGGGCCACAAAGCCGGTGTACAGTGAAAGTTTGATGTTCTGTTGGTATGTTTCATCAAGGCAGGTTGCTGAGTTTGAACTTCTTAGGAAGAAACCTCGTTAGCCTAGACTGTATACTGCTGCCTAAAAGGCCAACTGGTTATTTCATTTTGTGTGGTTCTGTTTTTTGTTTTTAACAGCGAATGCATAAAGATACAACCAACGGATATCCAGCCTGACATATTCAGCTATTTGCTGCACATTATGTACACAGGGAAAGGGCCAAAACAGATTGTGGATCACAGTCGTCTGGAGGAAGGTATTCGATTTCTTCATGCCGACTACCTTTCTCACATTGCCACTGAAATGAATCAAGTGTTCTCACCAGAGACTGTGCAGTCCTCAAATCTGTACGGCATTCAGATCTCAACAGCCCAGAAAACAGCTGTCAAACCAGGACTGGAGGTCAAAGAAGCTCCATCCGGTACCAGTGGCAGTAGGGCTGCCATGCCAGCTGACCCCCCGCAGCTGCAGCTCTCTCTCGCCATCGGGCTGGATGATGGCACTGTGGATCCGCAGAGGGCACGTCCTGCCGCCCAGGCTGTGGAGGAGCGCCAGAAGCCCCCAGCGTCCATCAAGCAGGAGAGATGTGACCCTGAGTCTGTGATCTCCCAGAGCCATCCTTCACCCTCAGCAGAGGGGACAGGCCCCACTTTCACCGAAAGCAGTATCAAAATACACTTATGCCATTACTGTGGCGAACGCTTTGATTCCCGCGGTAACCTAAGGCAGCACCTCCACACCCACGTGTCTGGATCCCTCCCATTCGGTGTCCCTGCTTCCATTCTGGAAAGCAATGACCTTGGCGAAGTGCATCCACTTAATGAAAACAGTGAGGCTCCTGAATGCCACAGGGTAGGCTCTTTCATTGTTAAGGAGAACGAGCAGCAGCCTGACCACCCGAACCAGGGTACCACCGAGCCTCTGCAGATCAGCCAAGTGTCTTTGATCTCCAAAGACACGGAGCCAGTAGAATTAAACTGTAATTTTTCTTTTTCAAGGAAAAGAAAGGTCAGCTGTTCCATCTGTGGTCATAAATTTCTCCGAAAAAGCCAACTGCTGGAACACATGTATATACACAAAGGTAAATCTTCCAGATATAACCGATGCCAAAGGTTCGGTAACGCGGTAGCCCAGAGATTTCAGCCGTACTGTGACAGCTGGTCCGATGTGCCCCTGAGAAGTTCTTGCTTGTCGCAAGAACAGTTAGATTCCTCCTGTGCCTTAGAGTCAGAGCTCACACAAGAAAGTGTGGACACTATCCTTGTGGAGTAGCCGTTTCTCCTTCATCATTTTTATATCAGTTCTGAAAAAGAAAACTCACGTGCATTTTTTGATTCATAAACTATTTTCCTCCTCCATGTCTGCTCACTTTTTTTTTGTTGCCATCTATCCATAGTTTTAAGGTGGTATATATTAGGTCTTCTTATTGTAAGATATGGTATACACATGGCTATTAAAATGTAACGTTCAAGTACAGCTGTGAACCGTTCATAAGTCACAGTTAAGAAATCAGAATTTGGGCCTCATGGGTGGCTCAGTCAGTTGAGTGTCCGACTTCAGTTCAGGTCTCACTGTTTGTGGGTTCAAGCCCCATATCGGGCTCTGTGCTGACAGCTCAGAGCCTGGAGCCTGTTTCATATTCTGTGTCTCCCTCTCTCTCTGCCCCTCCCCCACTCGTGCTCTGTCTCTCTACTTCTTTCTCTCAAACATAAATAAAACATGAAAAAATAGAAAATCAGAAATCAATGTAAGAATTATGGAGCTTTAGAGTAAATAGTTATTTATAGAATTTCTAAGTTGTAGAAGAAGTAAAACCAAATTGAAAATGAAGTAAATGAAATTTTTAAAAGAATACTCTAGACTCTCATTTTTGGCTAATTTTTCACATGAATAAGCCACTGTAAAGACCACTTAAAAATATTTTCTGGGGCACCTGGGTGGCTCAGTGTTTGAGCATCCGACTTAGGTTCAGGTCATGATCTCACCATTCTGAGTTTGAGCCCCACTTGGGCTTTGTGCTGACAGCTCAGAGCCTGGAGCCTGCTTCAGAATCATGGTCTCCCTCTCTGCTCCTCCCCTGCTTGCACTCTGTGTCTCAAAAATGAAGAAATGTTAAAAAAAATTAAAAATAAAAAATATTTTCTGCCACATATGAAGTTAAAGTTATTTCTAATGCATAACTATATGTTATAATGTATAAAAATTTTGTCTTAAGGCATAGCTATAATAAATCATGAGTAGTTTTAAAATCACTTTTACTTATTAGCTCTGCAGCATCTTGTATGGCATGTATTTTTTCACATTGAGCATACCTCATTTTTAATAAAAATATTTTACTGAAAACAGAGAAACAGAAGAGATTCAGATATTAAAACAAAATCCTAAGGAGAGAAACAGAAACATACATGTTCTGTTCATGTAGATAAACATGTAGATTATACATGTTCATACATGTAGATAAACAGAGATTCAGATCGATCTGCCTTGACTAACACCCAATGTTGTTACCTTAATCTAGAATGTTTTCTTAAACATCTTAAGAGCAATTTGAGATATTTTTATGACCAGAGGTTTACATCACCTTAGAGAGGAAAATGATAAAATACAAATTATCTTTCTACCCTCAGTGTCAGAGGATTTTCTAGGCTGCCTAAGTTGATGTTAATTTTCTATCACTTGAAAAAGTAATTTTTCAGTGACACAGCTTTCATTTTTTCTGGTCCATAAAACTAGCAGAGTAGACACAGTGTCCTAGAACTATGTCTAAAAATCATGATAGCATTTCCTTTGTGAATAAACTTAGCTCTCTTTTATAACAGTGAAACTTACAAAGCTAAAACACCAGAAAAATTAAAATTAATGGACTAAATGATAGATTGTCCTGCTTTATGTAGCTGGGGACTCGCTGGTCAAACTTCACCACAAAAGATAGATCTACATTGTTTCTGAAATGTTTAAATTTCAAAGATTAGATAGTCAAGAATAACAAAGCAGAGAGGCTTTAACACAGCCTCATCTTTTTTGTGTGTGCTGCTCTGTTAAATTCAAAGCCTCACAGACATTTTAATAAATCTGGTTTGTGAGGCTTACAATTTAACTGTATACAGGAACTCTGAGCTCCTTTATTGACTGCATCCTTCTGAGGACATCTCCTGACAGCCTCAGCGTGGAGTCAGAAGGAAGCTCAAAGCATAATCCAGCCATTCTAAGGGCACAAAGGTTTTCTCTGGGTAAACACTTGAGTTTAGGTGACTTGTGAAGTGGTAAGTTTTTCTTGAGGGCTGAATGAAGAAACCACCGGGCATTGTCTAAGGCAGTTGAGTTTCTCCCTCACACAAATGACTACAGCTTCCTGGGGTAAGGATTGTGATGTGTTGAAAATGAAATCTAACTAGCTGTTATTGTATAGTTATCAGTTACATTGGGAGTGGATTAAAAACAAATGTGTTGCCCTTGGGGGTGAGAACTTAATCTAATCTTGCACTTCAGTCATTTAAACAATTAGTCAAACTTCAGCCCTCAAAAAATCTCATCTCATAGGGTGCACACACATATTAACATTTATTTTGTGTATTTTAGGCAATTCATGATATATTCCCCAGCACTTCTTCAAGTAGAATTTTATTTTTCTCCTGAGGATAACTGTTTTTTGAATTTCTTCCTTCTCTGTTTTCTTCTTGCTCAATCGTTAGTCCTTGACACAAGAAGTGTGGAGCTAAAGAGTGGGATTGTGGGTGCATAGGAGTTGAGGGGTATGGTAGCTATTCAGGGCAGAGTCTGGAGAAATTCTAAGTGTTCGCTTGTGGCTGATTGGCCATGGCAGCAACAGTACAACTGAAATAGATCTATGCTTGTTGGATGTTAAGAACATAATGGTTAATTGTATTTTTATTCTCATTCAGATAGTTCCTTTTAATGTTAGAAATTCAGAGCAAATGTTCTTTCTTTAGTCTTTCTTTAGTCTTCATAATCTTCTATTTTAGGAAGTGGAAAAATGTTAACTCCATTTTGTAGGAAAAAAGTCCCAACAGGTGGGTTCTAGGGAGCCAGTGAGTTGTGGTATGGGAGCTGACCCCAGTTTTTTTTTTTTTTTCATTCATTCAACAGCCATATTTTAAAAATAACTGTTACATGTATGATTAATGCTGTGCCCTGAGTGTATTTTTTTAAAGACTTGATTCCTCAGTAAGAGAATCTACTTTGTATAAAAAAAAAAAGGGGTCTTCCAGCTAAACCCTTTAGTTTTGACCACATCATCTGTAAAATGAGCTGTAATCTTAACCATATAATATAGTTTGCCTGATTACCAAGCTCTTAAAACTGGAAATGCTAGCTGCACCTTAATCAACATATGAGGCAAATATGAAGCAGACATTTTCTTGGATCAACTTAAGATTTTCTCTTCTTTCCAGATCCTACATATAGTTGTTTTCTGGAGAAAAACAGACTTGTTTAGTATTTGTCCCTATTAGCATACTGTCAGAACTCTGGAACTCTTATAAATGTGGTCTGCCTTATAAGATAAAACCAAAATTTCTTGATTTATGTTATCTTGAGATTATTTCTTGCTTGGCTTTTCTAAAGTGGATATAAGCAATCCCTACCTCACAGCGGTGTTGTGAGGAATTGTGTTAAATTTTCTTAGTATTATTTATAAAAACCAACCATATAGGGGCGCCTGGGTGGCTTAGTCGGTTAAGCGTCCAACTTTCGCTTGGGTCATGATCTTGCCGTTCGTGGGTTCGAGCCCCGCGTCGGGCTCTGTGCTGACTGCCAGCTCAGAGCCTGGAGCCTGTTTCAGTCTGTGACTCCCTCTCTCTCTGACCCTCCCCTGCTCACGCTGTCTCTCTCTCTCTCTCCTAGAAATAAATAAAACATTAAAAAAAAAACAACAACCATATAAAGAAAACATACTCTACAGCTAAACCTATTAACTTCGATATTCCAACCTGTAAACTCTAGAACGTCTTAGAAGCAGTCATATACTATTTAATACTCAATAATTATTTGACACAGTTCTTTTATTTTTTAGAAATACTCTAGAAACAGCAGTGTTGCTAGAATTCCATTTCTACTGTAGTTTAATCAGCAGTATTTCTCTTTAGACTTTAGGAAGAAGGATATTAGTTCATTGGCATTATTGGGAATAAAACCTTGCCAATTTCAGCTTCATGGAAAGTTCCCCCAAACATATTGTTTACACATGGAAAAAGAACAAAAGCAATTGAGAAAATACCATTTTCATTTCTTTGCTTTACATCATCTAAAAAGTACATGGAGACAAGAAATAGAGTGCAGATAATAACATAGTTATTCATTATGTTGTATTAAAATAATATTGGAAAGGCCTCACTTTAAACTGAAGGAAACACCTATTAATCATGGCAAGAGAGAGTCTGGAAAATGGTATAATTCCATTAATGTTTATCTGTCCAGGCAAATTCTTAGCGTTGTAACCCTGATCCTTGCTAAGTGTCATTTTTTAGCAGTAATTGTGGTAAAATAAGCCACATGAAGAGTTTTCATAATCTGTGTCTTTGTATGTTTTAAGCTAAATGTAGCTCTAAGGTATTTTATTATAACTAATTTTTAAATTCCTAAGAGTGGAATCTGTAAATGATTGTTCTCTGCTGTACCTCTATGTTTGTATGGTGGGACTTTTTGAAAACTGGTTAGATTATATGGTCCCAAGCCTGGGTGTCTTTTTTTTTTTTTTTAAGGCAGATTTTATTTTATTTAATGTTTTATTTCTAGGAGAGAGAGATAGATATTGTTTGTTTTGGTGTGTTTTAGAGAGAGTGTGATTCATATTCTGAAACAGGCTCCAGGCTCTGAGCTGGCAGTCAGCACAGAGCCCGACGTGGGGCCCGAACCCACGAACCGTGAGATCATGACCTGAGTGAAAGTCGGACGCTTAACCGACTAAGCCACCCAGGCGCCCCCCTGGGTGTCTTAAATACAAGGAATCAGAAACTGTGATCTGTGTCTTCAAGACCTGGAAGAAGCTATTGTGCTTCCCTGGGTATCTGTGCCACCCTCGATTACCTACTAGATAACTGCTCCAATGCATTTGCCATCAACTGCCATCAGCTCTTCCATTTCGTGCCAAATAAAGTCATGTAGTCAGAGTAGATCAAATATGAACTTAAAATTGTTTCAGAGAAACTTGGATTTCAAAAACGTTGCAATAAGAAGGACCCACAGAAGAAATCCTCCAAGTACAAGTAATACACGGGCCAATTCAGGAGACCGCAGCGAATAGCACATTGTATGGTTAAACTCTCCCACCTTATGTACTGTGACTCTGCTTCAGAAACGTTATTTTAGAAAGTTTTGTATCCTCTATTTGGAATGAAAA